AATGAGTGCATGTCGAGCGGCCGAGCCGAGTTCTAGTAATTGCCTGTAGACATCATCGAACTGGTGCGCATTCGCACTATTCCACAAGCAAAACAATGTATGCGTAAATTTCGTGCAACAAACTTGACTTTAGGGATGAAACACAGGCAGCTTCTTTTTTTACATACTACTTTTCACATGATCCTTTTACATGACAAATGGTTTACATATATGTCCCACTTAACAATGTTCTTTTTACCTTTTTCGAAGTATTTTGACAGCCAAGCTAGGACCCTTCTTGATTGGTTTTGGGTACCGCAACCAGGCGAGATCATAGGAGCTGTTTTTCAACTGGTGTGGTGGTGTATTTTGTTCAAGGAGCACATATCGGGGGGTAGAATGATCGCGGAAAGTTGTGGTAGTTAGCTAGCTGAATGGGATGTTGCACAGGGACTTCAATAAAACATTATGGAATTAAACAAAGCATTCATAATTAATAAAATGTAGTACATCTGATGTGGGTAGGATTTCCATGGCTCGTACTGTCTTTTAGAAAACACAAGTACTTAGGCATATAGCAACAGTTCCTCCTAAATGCTATACATCACGCCATAAAAGAGATCCAGCACGAATATATGGCTGTAGCAAAAGGCTTTTGCTTTGCTCAAAAGATCTCCGCTGAGAATCGCCCTCATTATAGGTGAGGGGGAATGATTCACGTGAAGAAGTAGAATCTGAAAAATTGAAGAGGATGTGGACAATAACACACCCTAAGGGTCACTCTCTCAGGAAACCACAGCTCAGGTCATTTTCCATGGCCAGCCACATCTCAAGGTCACCCATCGCTTCTTCCCTCAACGATGCAAACAGTGATTAGAAGCACAAAATGACTATATTGGGCCAGAATCACCGTCTCACAAATGCGGCGATTGAGAGCAGATAAAAATTTCGGAATTGAAACTTTGAGACATTTTACGGTTACAGCATTAAACTGAATTCAGATCAAATCATTGGCGACGCGCACTGGGCGGGCCCGTGCGATCATGCGTTTTTGCAATGTTTCGTGCTGT